ACCAGCTCCAGAACCTATAATTGTGCAGTTTTTAACGGAATGATTAAAAACAACCTCTTTAAAAATGTTATATTATTATTTTTGATAATAAAATTTTATATTATTTTAATTTTCTTAATTCTTTGAAAATGTTTTGTATCTTAGCAATAATCAATAAAATGTGAAATGCCAGACCAAGACCTCAAAAACTTTTTGAGCCATGCAAAGTAGTTCTTATTCTCTAATATAATATACAGAAATATTTCTACAGTACATAGTCTTGGTTGGCAAAAAGACTCAAGTCCATCGAGTTCAAAAGATAGCCAGTTATGCCACAAAAGAAAATCCTTCTTGGCTTCATAATAGCAATCAGATTTCTTGTTAGAATTCATTTGACTTTTTGTCCATTTCTAAACATCTTGCAGTCCTTGTGGTTCCGTTCCAGCATATTATTTATTTATTTATATATTTTTGTCAACCAGGTTTTTCTTAACCCCTTAAGACCACAGCCAAATGTACAAGTTGTGATTAAAACAAAACGTAAACAAAACCTGGCATTTGCGCTATATGTCTATCCAACCGTAATTCACCTCTTTCATATTAAATGCACCCACACTTATTATATATAATTTTATTCAGGGGAAACAGGGCTTTCATTTAACATCAACTATTTAGGTATGGAACATAATTTAATTTGAATAAAATATAAAAAAATTGAGAAAATAAGATTTTTTTAAATTTTCTTAGTTCTACGTGACATTTTAACTGTGAATGTCAAAATACTGCTTGCTTTTACTGCAATAAAATACACATATTTGTATTCAGCGATGTCTCACGTGTAAAACACTATCCCCTATGTACAGGTTTTATGGTGTTTTGGGAAGTTACAGGGTCAAATATAGCATGTTACATTTTTCAGTTTTTTCACATTGAAATTCGCCAGATTGGTTACGTTGCCTTTAAGACCGTATGGTAGCCCAGGAATGAGAATTACCCCCATGATGGCATACGATTTGCAAAAGTAGACAACCCAAGGTATTGCAAAAAGTAGTCACTTGGTCACAAACACGGCCAAAGTTAGTGTTAATATTTGAAAAAGCAAAAAACGAATTTGAACGCCAATTTTGGCCAGTGTTTGTGACTAATTGGCTACTAAAAAAGACTGAACATACCCCATTTGCAATATTTTGGGTTGTCGACTATTGCAAATGGTATGCCATCATGGGAGTAATTTCCATTCCTGGGCTACCGTACGGTCTCAAAGGCAACATAACCAACCTGGCGAATTTCAGTGTGAAAAAAATGAAACGGAAGCCTTATATTTGACTCTGTAACTTTTGAAAACACCATAAAACCTGTACATGAGGGGTACTGTTATACTCGGAAAACTTCACTGAACACAAATATTAGTGTTTCAAAACAGTAACACGTATCACAACAATTATATCGTCAGTGTAAGTGCCATTTGTGTGTGAAAAATGCAAAAAATTTCACTTCCACTGACGATATCGTAGTTGTAATACATTTTACTGTTTTGAAACACTAATATTTGTGTACAGCAAAGTCTTCCAAGTAAAACGGTACCCCCATGTACAGGTTTTATGGTGTCTGAGAAAGTTACAGCGCTATAGTGCTAGCAAATTAAATTCCCTGAACTTTCGGCCTGGGTTGTCAGGCAGGTCCTGCAAATTGTTATTAATAAAATTACCTAATTATGTAAAATTATTGCATAAATATATACGTAGAATGATTATATAAATACTTGTGCATATATATATGTGTATATACATTTTTTTTAATTATTTTTATTTATATATAGGTATATATATATATATAGTGATATATACGTATATATTTATGTATATAGATATATATATTATTTCGTTCTACGTGTATTTTGATATCAATATATATATGTATATATATATATATATATATATATTCATTTTAAAATACAGTTAGAATGAAATTACACATTTATATACATTATTTATTTATTATTATTTTTTAATTTTATTTTTTAACGTATTTACATATTTGTTTCTTTTTTTATTATTATATATAAATATATATATAATGATAATTATATATATTTAGTCAATATCATTGTAGGTGTACTTTGATATGAATATATATAATTATATATATATATATATATATATTAATATTAAAATACACTTAGACAGTGTATGTGTATTTATGTGTATGTGTGTATATGTGTATATATATATATATATATATATACTTAGATCATATATATAATAAATATATTTGATCTAAGTATATATTATTTCATTTTACACTGTTTTAACTTTATTTAATTTTATTTCCAGGCAGCAGGGGGAGTACCTGTCATTACAGGCACTCCCCCTGCTGGCAATGCCTCGGACGGCTATGCCGTCCATGTGATCGCGAGGTCCTCGCAAGGACCTCGCGATCACATGGCCCAGAGGGGCCGAAGAGGAAGGAGGGGGACTCCCTGGGCTCCCAGGTGAGTCCCCATACCGAAATCGCCGGTGTGGGATCGTCGGCGACCAGGTAAGTACATAAGATTGCAGGGCGTTCTATGCTGCCCTGCGGCGTTTAGAGCCGCTTCCTTAAGGATGACATAGAACGCCCTGCGGTCTTAAGGAGTTAATGAGACATTGATGAGACACACAGTAGAAGAATGAGAGAGTTGTAGTTGAACAATATGAAGTAGCAAGAGTAAACAAGTATATCGTCTAAAGTACATGAGCAAACTAAATCATGAGGTGTTGCACAGCAAATTGTTAAACTGCAGTTTAATAGTCCCATGTGGCAAATAGCTTAGTTAGGCCACAAGAACAGACATAGAGAAAATACGGGTGGTGTAGCTCTGAAGAGTGTATGGGTTTGCGACATTGAGTGCCACAGGATAGATGAATAACTGACCAATCGGGCCAATGGAGGGGGAATGTGCCTTGAGGCATTTTTACATTTTGGTGGCATTTTTGCCACTTCTAAAATGGCATCAGGTTCCTGAAACATCTGCATACATTTCACAAGCAGGTAAAACAGTTTTTGCCACACCTACCGTACATTTTAAATAGACATTTCTGTTTTAATGCAAACAATTAACACTATATTTGAAGTTTTGAAAGAGTAAGATTTATTTTGTCCTAAGTCAATGTGCTAGGTTCTCATCCCACATTTCAATTATGCATTTAAAAACTTTGATTTTTTCAAATGAAAATAACCTGTTAATAATTGAGTTTAACTAGAATATATTCAAATGCATTAATAGCTATTTTTTTCAACTGCATAGATCATTTATTTATTTGCCATATATCTAGCTACTATCAAGAGTTTAAATTACACTACCACACTGCATCAAATCTAATATTAAGGTAGTTGATGCCTTCTGAATAATTATTGTTTTGAATAAAACTCTTATTTTTTTAACCACAAAAATGGTAACATTTACACTTTTTGTGGGTTTCAGGGGAAAAAAAATATTTTCTATTTCCCCAGCAAAAATAAAAATAAAACAAATAGAAATTTGCTCACACAGGTTGCATAGGAAATGTTTTAATAAAAAACAAAAACAAAAAAAACATGCAGTGCAGATGCTAAATCTCCTGTGAAAGGGAAAATGAAGTATTATTTTCCTACTGGTCCGGTGTGCCTTAGTTGTATCTGTAGGCACTGATATATGGTTTTCTGGCAGTATGGGGTGCAGAACTTTTTGATTATTACTAAGCTGTAGCAAAACAAAACCCCACTGACATTTATTTTAATTTGTATTGACCTAGAATCAATAAAACATTTTTAGCTCAAAAAGTTAAAGATGGAGGCCTGGGCTTTCCAAGCATTATGGATGGTCGCTATGATTTTTCCTTTATAATCAGATAAATCAATAAACCATAATGCAAGGTACTGCAACGCTAAATACCTCAGCTGAAAATCATTCAACACAAATGTGGGTCACATCCACACATTCAGTATTGTTTGGAGGATACATATTCAGTATCCAACAACATTTGCACATGATGTACAGATGAGCACATACTTGTTACATAAATTCATCCTTTATCAATATGGATCCATTAAGAATTTCTGTATATTTCATGCAACTGACAAATAGCTGTTGGAACCAGTAACGCAACAGAAAATCTTTTTTTTTTTTTAAATGTTTTTATTGCAAAATATGATTTATTGGTACACGCGTACCATCTTTTTCGGTCTGTGCCTTTATTATGTCCACCATGTAATGTGCCCACCTTCCTCCTGTACTATACTCAGAGATCACTTAAACAAACTGGGTGAGTAATATTGTAAGATACTCAATTATGAGCATTTTAATTTTGCAGTATGCTTTAAACAATTTAAAGGATAAAAAAGCCGATTTCGACGCAAACTGAGTACACTGGTGAGAAATTCTTGACCCAACCATGATAAATTTTGAAAGGACTCATTGAATTGGTTGTTGTGCCTGGAATCCTGTTGCACTGTCCCTCCATTCAGTGTTAAACCATTTGTGACCAGATTAACACTAAATAAGGGTTCCTGAAGACCTACAGCATGACCCTAAGGCAAAGATTACACACTTCGTATTAGCCATACCAAATCATACCAGCAATGGGCACTGTAATAGGCTGAAAGAAGTCAGTTGACATTCTAAACCATTCCCAGCCAACCATTGCTGCACATGCAAATGATTCATCATTAATCCAAGAAGAAGAAGAGGGGATAGGCTGCTGAGAACTCAGCTAGTCCCCTTTAGTAACACAAACCCAGAAATATTGAAGGGCTATACATATATTGTGCACTTAAAAAACATTTTTTGTTGACCCATGATAAGGTAAAGCAACAAATAATTACAATGTTCAGGCTGTAGTCCCAGTCATGTATAGAGTTTCAAGGGGCTAATAAACATATCAATATATAAACATATGAATTAATTTGCTGAGTCACATGATCACAGGGAACCAATCCCAAACAGCACCAAAAAACTAAACAACCAAATTAACATATCTACAAAACCAGTCAACAAACCCCCGATGACTGAAGACACTCTGCGGAGCCTCTTAGACAAACTATGCCGCAATATCACGGCCGACATTGTCCAGTTCCAGAAGGAAATCAAGGGAGTCTCAGCCCGACTCCACAACACAGAGCTGGACACAGCAGCCCGCGAGACTCGCATTGCCGCCCTGGAGCAGCAACTATCTACCATACAGAGGTCTCATAAGCAGAACCAGGATCACATTGCTGATCTAGAAGATAAGCGGCGCTGGAAGAATATAATAATACTTTTTCCAGAAACTGCTCACCATGCTGTTCCCAGCTAAACAAGCATAATCTATCACCCTGGATGGTTAGTACCAAGTTGCCAGACCTTCCACTGAAGCTCAGAAAACAAGCAAAGACGTAATCCTCCGCTTCCAGCTGGGCAAAGACTGAACTAACTTTATGGTGGCTGTCCGCACTAAGTCACCCCTCTGGTTTGAGGACCATACTCTTACCTTTTTCCCGAACTTATCCAAGGCCACGCTGGACTGGAGACAGTCCCTGAGACCTCTGACACAGGCGCTAGCCTCAAATAAGGTGCAATATAAGTGGGGCTCTTCCTGAGTTCTGATTGTCCCAAGGGAAACTGGTCCACTGAAGGTCGGGGACGCTTCAGAGATCGCCGAAGTCCTCCAATAACTTGGCTTGACAGTGCGAGCTGCTGGGACAACTCCCCCCTCGCCAGCGACATCTACCTCCTGGGATCCGAAGAGGATTGCACCATTTGTGGCAGCTGTCCATGGGGGTTATCCTCACCTGCTCCTGTGCCTTGTCTTTCTATTGCGTTTTGTTTACCAATTTCTTTATAGTTTGATTATGTACGTACATATTTCCTCGTAGTTTATATATATGTACGTACGTATATGTGGGTGGATCCAAACCTGTTTTTTTATTATTATTATTCCAATGGCCCCACTTGTATACTGTCTCACTGACAGAATAAGCTTATGTTATTTGAGATATGCTGTGAATTAAAACCTTATTGTATTTTGCTTTTTATTGCATATTTTCATGCAAAATTAAACTGCACGAAGAGACAGTATGGTTTGTTCGAGTGGTTACCGCACACAGATATTCATGGATAATAAGTACATAACTCCCAGATGCAATAACATGTCAATGTTGTTACAGGAATAGCTAAGCACACTTGCACCTACTTTCTAACTTAAACTGAAACAGGTGATTTGAGGGCAGTGGAAACTAATGAGAAATCCAGATTGGCCATTTTGAGGAACAATTAAAAAAAATGTATATACAATGCTTTTATTCAAGAACACAGCTCACAATGTGCTTAGAGTGATTTTATGTTTGTATGAATGGATTCCAAAAACAGGGTCCCTACTGCTTAGATATATATATATATATATATATATATATATATATATATATATATATATATATATATAACTTGCACTGGTACCCTGCACACACACTTTCAAAGTACAAAAAATGCTGGGTGCATAATAGCCATAGCCAAACAATATAGAGTATTCCAAAAATAAGGCTTGCACTCACGGTCTGTAGTAAAGTTAAAAGTTCTTCTTTATTCCGATATTATTAAAACAAATCTGTAGTCATCATCAACGTTTCAGCCATCACTCGTGGCTTTCATCAGGATCAGTTCAATACACAAATTATATATACAAACAATTGCATTTAAATAGCAAAACATACTGATCACTAAATCTTTGAAAATACTCACCACCTGTGCGACCGATCTCCCGGCGTCTCTCACCCTGGATTGCGCATGCGCGAACATGCCAATACACGGAAGTGGCGTGCTCTCGTCATCATCCGTTGCCTGGGTTACCCGCAATGTATACAAGCTCCCAGGCAACGGAATGATCTGTCAGGACGCTCGGGAGGGTCCACGGTGATCAAACCACTTAGATTAAAATAAAACAAGTTAAAACCACTAACAGCATGGCATAAGCTAAACATCTTAATTAGATTCTATTACAGACCCACAACTACTCATATGTGCATAAGCACTGAGTCTATTATACACCGATTGGGAGATGGTTGGATGCACAATTTAAAGAAACAGTTTTACAACTACATACGTGCATTAAGGATACACCCTCACTTTTGGAAATCTTGAAACAGCTTGATATAGATACACCGGATCCGGTCTTGATTACTATGGATGTCAGTAGCCTCTATACCATCATCCCTCATGAGGGTGGTATAGAGGCTATGAGACAAGTGCTATGTGCTTCAACTGTATATAAGGGGCCACCTATCGAATACACCTTAGAATTATTAGAGGTGGTATTAAGAAACAACTATTTTCGGTTTGAAGCACAATGGTATATGCAAAAATCTGGAACTTCGATGGGCGCGCCTATGGCACCTATGTATGCGAATTCGTATATGTATGTATTTGAGGAAGAATATATACTTAAACCTTATCGACACAACATCATAAAATATTTTCGTTTCATCGATGATGTTTTGATATTATGGAGGGGTACAATATACCAGGCTCATCAGATGGTAGATTCTATTAATCAGCTCCCTACACCAGTACGTATGACGGCAGATATCAGTACAGAAAAAGTTCATTTTTTGGATGTGGAACTTTCAATAATTGATAACAAAGTTGAATATAGTTTGTATACCAAACCCACAGATCGCAACACGATTTTACACTATACAAGTGCCCATCCGCGAAACTTAAAGAATTCTATCCCACAGGCTCAGTTTCTCAGAGTTATGAGAAACAACTCGAATGAAAGTGTGAAACAACAACAATTAAAGCAAATGCAAAATAAATTTTTGGAACGAGGATATGGGTTAAAAATTTTAGAGAGAGCAATGGAAAAAGCTTATGTAAAAGCAACCATGCCCCGAGATCTTATTAAAAGGCCGGCGTTGGTCTTTCCCATTACATTTCACAATCAAGTGCATAAAGTTTCGAATATAGTCAAAAAGAATTGGAACATGCTATCAATAGAGCACACTTTACCTAATGAGTTTAGAGAGCCCCCAAGGATATGTTTTCGGAGGAACAGAAACTTAAAAGACATACTAGTGAAAACCGATCCGGTAGAAAGCTATACCAAACAACAGAATTTGCAAGTGCGTGGTTGTGTTCGCTGTTTGGGATGCGTTACGTGTGGCCATATGGTGCCAGCACGAACGTTTACTCATCCACACAAGAATAAGAGCTATAAGATTAGATATACAATTACATGCAAATCTGTGTTTGTTGTATATAAGTTGTCATGCCCCTGCGGCCTATGTTATATCGGTAAAACTGAAACACAATTGTGTGAAAGGATTAGGGGACACAGGTGGAATATTAGAACTGCGATTAGAGATGGAAGCACAGATAAGCCTGTGGCTAAGCACTTTTTGGAGTACAAACACTCTTTGACCACACTAAAATTTGTAGCAATAGACCACATACCAGTACCTAGAAGGGGTGGCAACAGAGGTAATATTCTATTACGGAGAGAAACATTTTGGATTCATGAACTGGACACAGTTGCGCCTCGAGGACTAAATGAAATGTTAACATATGCCCCATTTATTTGAGTAACGCTGTTATACATTGAAGCCTTCTTGAATAGAGAAATGTTTTAATAATACATATTACAACAGTTAGCAGCATGGTTTAAGGCATCTGTCCTTATTGGTTTTATAGGGTATAAACTCAATAGCTTATTATCTATTTCCACTTAGGAGTATAACTTAAATATTTTTTGAGTGTAAATCTACTAAAATGTTGACATAATGTGTTCATTGAAGTATATTAATGATAGAAGTACACTTAGCTATATATGGGACATATTTTGTACTTTTTAGTGTCATTTGGAATAATTTTTCCTTTATAAGGGTTCTAATATACATAATACACACAGTATGCACTTTAATGTATATAATAGCAACTAGTATCACTTTACGGATTAACGATGGCACTTTATTGTATTTGACACATTTATTCACTTTATTGTATATAGTACATTTGCACTTAGCACTTTTTTCAGCACTTATTAATTAAGTGTTACTTATATAGCCAGCACTTTAATATATATCAGGTATGAATACCTCTTTAAAGCTTAAAGCAGTGCTTTACAGCACGCATATTTTCACATTAGTTCACATTACATTCACTTTATGTGCACTTTATTGTATATAAAAATAAGGAATATCTTTATAGATTAATAGTAGCACATTAATGTATGTTAATATGTATTAGTTCTTTTTATTACATATAACATGTTGCACTTAACACTTTATGTATATAATAGTAACCGATAGCCCTTATAAGTAGCACTTTACTGTACATATATTCATATTCATGCATTTTAACATGTAACATATATCTATGGAATTTAATCATTACTATAATATCTGAGTAAATTAACACTCCTAGCATTGTATATCTATGCATACTAGTTATGAGCCAAGTGTGTATAATAGACTCAGTGCTTATGCACATATGAGTAGTTGTGGGTCTGTAATAGAATCTAATTAAGATGTTTAGCTTATGCCATGCTGTTAGTGGTTTTAACTTGTTTTATTTTAATCTAAGTGGTTTGATCACCGTGGACCCTCCCGAGCGTCCTGACAGATCATTCCGTTGCCTGGGAGCTTGTATACATTGCGGGTAACCCAGGCAACGGATGATGACGCGAGCACGCCACTTCCGGGTATTGGCGTGTTCGCGCATGCGCAATCCAGGGTGAGAGACGCCGGGAGATCGGTCGCACAGGTGGTGAGTATTTTCAAAGATTTAGTGATCAGTATGTTTTGCTATTTAAATGCAATTGTTTGTATATTTAATTTGTGTATTGAACTGATCCTGATGAAAGCCACGAGTGATGGCTGAAACGTTGATGATGACTACAGATTTGTTTTAATAATATCGGAATAAAGAAGAACTTTTAACTTTACTACAGACCGTGAGTGCAAGCCTTATTTTTGGAATACTCTATATATATATATATATATATATATATAATTATATCTATCCTGCACAGACACACTCTCCCCCTGCCTCCCTGACAGTCCCCTCCCTGTATAGATCCACTCTCCCCCCGCCTTCCTGACAGTCGCCCTCCCTGCACATATTCCCTCTCTCCCTCCCTGCATAGACCTACTCTCCCCTGCATACATCCCCTCTTCCCCTCCCTCCCTGACAGTCCCCCTCCCTGCACAGATCCCCTCTACCCCTGCCTGCCCTGCACAGATTCCCTTTCCCCCTGCCCCCCAGACAGTCCCCCTCCAACCCCTGCACACATGCCCTTTCCCACTGCCTCCCCTGCACAGATCC